ATCAGGGAGGGCCCTATAGAGAGAGTTAATATTCTAATAGAGATAATTCAGCTTTATATATTCTAAAATTTTACTATTCCTAACAGGACAAATCCCAGTCTGCTGAAATATGGGAAAAATTGAATTTTGGAAACAAGGACCAAAATGTCAAATTTAGGAAGCTAATGGGTATTAAGGTGAGCTATGTGCTTTGTAGTAACATTATTTAATATTTTCAGGTTAACAGTTTCAACTTAGTAATTTCAGTGATATCATCTTTTTTAGGTACTTTCTGGTGTTTTTAAATGTTCTTAAGATAGATTTCCCAATTAACTAGATCAATATATTGTCAACTACTTGACAGTATAAATTGTTTGCCTTAAGTTAACACATTTGTCTGTTGACTTCTACGGGGTATAACAGAAGGTATACCTTGTTTGAGTTCATAAACTTGTCTAGTAAATAAAAGGGGGAAATTGCATAAAAGAATTCTAAGCTTACTAATTCCATATTTTGGTGTGATAGGACCTTCTAAAAGTTCATTATTCTTGGAGCATGCCAGAGCCTTTGCATTTGCTGTTAGGTTAGCCCTCTTTACACTTATCCTTCACCTCCCTGCTTGATACTTTTCCTATGGCTGGTCTCTTTACACGTCACTTTTTTAGCCTTTTCTCACCCATGTTTTTTAAAATAGTAAATACTCCCCATCTTGTTTTCTACTTCATTTTTATTCATGGCATTCTACAAGTTCTTTTTGTTACCCACTAAAATAAAGTTGATTCTTGAAAACTTCCTGCTTTAACCCCGTATCTAGAAAGAATATTTCCTTATACTCACGGGTGATTAAGCGAATGAATGGAGAAAACAAAGTTAAGTGAGGTCAAATTTATATTCTAAAGATAGGACTAGTACAGTGAAGTGAAAAAAGCAATTTTTATTTTACCTGAATTCATCTTAATTTTATATTTTATGTTTTAGAGTGAAGATGAAGCTGGATGTAGCTCAGTTGATGAAGAAAGTTATAAGACTTTGAAACAACAGGAAGAAGTATTTAGAAATCTGGATGCCCAGTATGAAATGGCAAGATCGCAGACCCACACGCAGAGGGGGATGGGGTTAGGGTTTACATCATCAATGCGAGGAATGGACGCAGTTTGAAAAAGAATACTTGCTGATTGGGACTTTATAGACTTCTGATTCTGATGGCAGGTCCTTGTTCACCAAACAGCTAGCATTCTAGCTTGCATGGGTGTTGCATTGACTTTAATTTATTGAAAAACGATTTTTTTTGTAAATATCAGATCAGTGATACTGGTGTTAGTGTTGTAATCAGGTTAAACCCACTTCCATTAAACTTGACAGGACTATAGAAGGACAATATTTTTTAGTTCATGAATTCTACTTTTCAAATATATAAAAGCTACAGGTGGGATAAAATATCATACATGGATTTTTTGTGTCCGCTGTCTTGTGTACTTTTGTACTTAACCTTGTACAGTTATTTTCATCTCTTGAAACATGAAAGAAATGTTATGTAGATGTTCTTTTAGAAGATCTGGCCATTTGGTACATAATCCAGCACAGAGGTGCTGGGTGGTTGATGATAATAAAAATGGTTTTCTCAAAACTGGTGTTAATTTAAGTTACCTGGAATTCTTGATTAAATCTGTTTTATTTCTGTAGCATTTTGCAATTGCTATTAGAAAACACTGGCCTAGAATTTTTTTTTTTTAGGAACAATAAACTTTGCTACAAAGACAATAATACCATGGTGAGCAAAAATGTAAAAATGAGATGGGAGGAATAAACAAAGTTATTAAGTAATACTGTTTTCCTACTATTATAAGGGACAGAATTGGTGTACAGTATTTGTTAAATATTCCTTGTTATTCAGGAAACAGATTAATACATTAAAGGGATGTAAGCACTTTTATTTTAATAAAGTGCCTTAAATAACAAGTTCTTTGTATGCCCTTTGGTCATTGTCCCTGTGAAATACTGTAACATTATATTGAAATATTGTAACACTATATTGTTCAAGCTTGAGAAAACCTGTGTCAATAAATAGAAGAGGGTATGAATTTGGTGGGGGGAATGGGATTATAAAAGTTTTTTTTTTTTTTTAAGGTTTTATATTTACGCATACAAGAACTGGGATACAGGCCAGAGGTGCTGGGGTGAGAAAATTAACCAGAGACGGGAACCAGAACAAGAGGATTGACTGAAATACATTGCTGAGGAGAGAAGCAGGTAGAACAGGAGAGGTTTACCACACCATATAGGGCCACTTAACCTGGCAGGGGACAGAGCTCATGCTTTAGTGTCAGCAAGATGGCCCCATAGGACCAAGGAGGTCCCTAGAAGTTGCAGTTCTTTTCTTTCATTACAGCATAGTAATAATTCTCGCTTGAAAAAACCTTTGGAACATGTCTTGACAGTGTAGCAGGGCAAGAGGGGACCCAGCTTAGAGGGCTAAAACTTACATCTTTGTTTTTTAAACTGGTTATTAAGTCATCAACTTGCTTGTTAGCATGCTTTATGAGAAATGAAAAATACATTGAAGACTTAAATGTATTTGACAATGCAAGTGTTTCTCAAGACAGTATGGTAATTTTGTAGAGAAATGATACCATGCTTTAGTGACAAAGTCAAATTTTCTGGGGAAATGACTGGTTTTTCATGATCACAATCTACACTGTAGGCCTATTTTATAAAACCAGTTGCATTTATTTTCAAGGGCTTGTATGGATATGAAAGCACACATTAGGTATTTCTTACCTATGTCTCAACTTTCAGGACCTGACCATACCCAAATGAGGTAATGCATGTCACACTTTTCTAAAGTATTAGTGTAACTAGAAATAATTTTTTTTTAGAGCAGGGGTACAGGCCAGAGTTGCAGAGGGCAGTGAGAGAATTTACCCAGAGAGACAGTGGGAAGCAGAACAGGCATCAATAAAGTACACTGCTGTGGGGAGCAATGGGAGAGACAGGAAAAGTGCAATGTCACATGGGTTACCTCCCTGGCCAGGGTATTGAACTCTTGCTGAAGCTGCTGTGGTTTAGGTTAGTGTTGCACTTTAACCTGTTGCACTACCAGGGAGGGCCCAGAGAAATTTTGTATCCGGTTCTTGTATGCATCAACATCTTAGAAAGAAAATCAGTAGCCAGGTTTAACCATGAGATTGTGACATAGTATATCCTTTTGACATATCCTTTAACATGTATCCCTTTGGAATTGCATTTTTTTCAAAGTTGAGCTGGGTTGTTAGGCCAAGCGGTGTGAAGGTGCGAGAGAATTCACCAGAGATGGGAGCAGAATGGGCAGGTTGAATGAAATACTGTAGAGGTGTGAGAGAATTCACCAGAGATGGGAACAGAATGGGCAGATTGAATGAAATTCACTGCTGAAGGGAGCAGGGAGCAAAACAGGAGAGGTATACTTTGTCATGTGGGTCAGCTCCCTTGACTGGGGATCGAACTGTGCTGTAGTTGCTGGTTGCTTCATAGTGCTGAGACTTAACTCCTTGTGCCACTGCAGAGATACTTCATAGTTAATTTTAAAACTCACTGTATATTTTGCATTTTAACATGGATAAGAAGTGTTTTCATTTAAATCTTTTGTTATCCCCTTAGGCTGTTACTATGATTTATTTCAGTTCAAAATCTTGCACTGCATGACTAATGTTTTGGGTATTAGCCTTACAAACTGACCATAAATATAAATAGCCCACTAGATAATGAAGACAGGGCCATAAGGTTAAAATATTTGAGGCAAGATAGAAAAAGTGTCAGAACAAGTTAGCTTTGAAGATAATTTAGAAGATAGAGCAGGATTGGTAGCTGTGTTTAAATGTTGGCAAAAAATACAAGTTCAAAGGTGAAGTTTTCTTTCAGCTTGGGTGATGGTGGGTTTTGATTTGTTAAACTTTGTGTTTTTCAAGATGTACATGTTTTCTTATGCAATCAGTTAAATCACTTTCCATAAAAAACTCTTAACATGCAACTGTTAAACTATTTAGTTCCTAACTTTACCCAAAATCCAACTGCTAAATCTGTATCCTTTTTTTTTTTTTTTTAACCTTCAGCGTTGCAATGATAACTGAAATGCTTAAGAAATTTCTTACCCCTGGCAGTTACTTCTTTACAGTTACCTGTAAGGGAGCTCTCTGCACTCCCAAACCCTGTCCACATCTATTTTCTATCTTAAATGATACTCAACGAGTTTCTTAAATTAGAATGTGGCAAATTTTTACTTACAAACCCCCACCCCTTTTTTAATCATTCCTTTATCAATCCTTCAACTAGCCCTGTTGCTTAAATTTTATCTTCTAATATTCTCTGCATCTAAATACTCTCTGCTCCACTGACACTACTGCTACCCAAGCATTTATTGGCTTGAGTACTGTAAGAATATGTCATGTTTACTGACTCAAAACTTTACTTTCGCGCCATCTCCAATACTTTTTGTTATGCAATCCAGGACTGACAAAATGAAAAAGTGTGTCAAGAACTGCTTAAAATAACGACTTGGGGGTGGAAACAGGAACCCTCATTTGACCCATGAGCACTGAGCTATAAGTCCCAGCTGCTGCTTGCTTCACTCTGCCTTTTCAAAAGGGATTCCTGAGCCGGGAGAGCTCTGAATTCAGTCCTCAACCCATCTTTGCCCCTCTAACACTTCATATTTCAGTTCAAACGTCAATAGTTAAGTAGATCCCCAAAGTATACCAAGTTTATTGCCTGTCCCTAACTTGCTGTGTTTTCACAAATTTCTTATAATGAATGCCCATCAACATCCACCTTGCCCCATGAATAGGAAGATTCAGGGGTGCTTATTTATCCTTCCTACCCTCCATCTTTTCCCATGAGAGGCAGGGATATTCTTTACTTTTTTGTATTAGAACAGTGGCTGGCACACTGAATGTGGTAACTAATACTGAATGAACGAGTAACTGGACGAGAGAAATCCCCGAAAGTCACCAGAAACATTTAAAATGCTTTAACAATCTGATTTTTCATTTAAAAAGTCACACAATCCCAGCAAACCCAAGTCGTTTGACAGAGCAGCCTGTGGCAAAACTGGAGATCCTTACTCTCTGGCTGCTGTTAGCACGCAACCAGAATCTGTGACGAACCAAGCGACGTTTCAGCCCTAGATGCAGAACCAGGACGGCCCAACGTTCTCACACATCTATTCTAGCAGCCTATCTTCCCGTTTAAAGAGAACCAATCCCAGTATGCATTGCAAACAATGAGTTGGTTGCGTAGAAACCACATGACCCAGCATGACGTGCTCCCCAGGAAACTCGGGAGAAAGACTTGAGACGCCTTGCATCCTGGAAGTTGTAGTCCAGGGCAGTGGCCCGCCCCTCGTGCCTCTTCAGCGACCTGCGTGAGGAGAAAAGCCTACTGGGTGGCCCCGCCCGGCCCGAGCCCAGAGAGCGACACCGCCCTCCCACTTTCGCCCCTGGCTCCGCCTCTCCGAATCCTTCCTGCGGCCCAAAATGGCGGCGGGGGTGGATTTTGGCGACCTAGAGCTGTTCGAGGCGTTCGACCACCCGGAGGAGTCAATGCCGAAGCCTGTTCACACCCGTTTCAAGGACGACTACGGCGATGGCGACGAGGAGGACGAGAACGTGGCGGATGACGCCGAGCTACGGGAGCGGCTTCGGCAGTGCGAGGAAACCGTCGAGCAGCTCCGCGCGGAAAATATCCTTCCCGCTCGCCGGGCCCTGTTACCGGGCGTGGGGTCGCTGCGTGCCTGGGAGGCGTGGGCTGACGTTCCGCCAGGGCCGGAGTTCCGAGGTCGGTCGCTCTCGGCCCTGGGGGGGCACTCGAGGCTACGGGTGGCGGTGCGGCCCGCGGGGCCTTGGGGACCCCGCGCTCCGACCGCTGTGTCCCCGGATTCGCGACGGCTTTCAGGGTCTTCCAACCCTTTCTGCGGTTAGTCGGCGGTCTGGCCCCGTTTGCTCCCCTTCCGGAAGCGTTCCCCGATCCCCGCGTGCGTCAGGGGTGACCAGATCTTTTCGTTAGCGGGGCCGCAGCTTGGGTAATCCCAGGATTTGGGGTCTGGGGCCTGCAAAGATGCAGATGGGGGTTCTAAGGAAAGTCCCTCCTCCCGGAAAGAGATTCGGTGGAGGAAGCGACGTCTAGCTTGAGGAAAACGCGCCCCAAAAGTTTACCTTTGACTTAAGTCACATGGATACAGCCTTTCTAGTAAGATTTGTTAGTGGGTTAGATTCTTTGAGGGTCGTGTTTTCTTCCTTTAAGTACAGATAACCTTTGGCTCAAGGAGTTTGCCTTATAAAAAGTGATTTCTGAAAAAGGACCGTAAATGTTTTAGGTTTCGAAATTTTTTATTTTTTCCTCGACGTTTTATTATGAAAAATTTCAAAATACAGGCAGTTTGGCAGCATGGTGCGGTGGGCATCCGTAGATCCTGGGCTAGGTTCGTCTGACGTTTGTTTGTTTTACTGTGTTTACTTGTTCACAGTCTTTAATACTTTTGATTTGGAAATTTTTACCTAAGCCAACGGCTCTAACTTCTGATGGGCCACCCTTGTTTGAGTAACAGTTTTTGGTTCAGTCCATTAGTCTATTTTGAACGTCGTGAAAGTATCTTACAAATTATTGCAAAGTCTGAAAACTCTAAAATTTTAAACCTAAATGCCTAGTCTTGCAACAAAATGGGAGCCCAGGGAGTCGTTCGAAAAATATTGTCTGACAGCAAAAAGTGAGAGCAGTTGAATTTTATGATCCTTTTGATTCTGTTTAATGACAGCTTACATTCCTTAACAAGTAATAACATAAAGAACTTAAAAGAAAATTGAACATTCTGACTCGACCAAGGTATGAGCTCTTGGACCATTGGTGTTCTTTATTTTTTAAATACTGATATTAACACTGAACCACAACTTACTGGTAAAAAATGTGTTTTAAGGTCTTTGTGTTTTTGTTCAATGTACCCAAATAGAATGACCTTCTATTTGTAATCTGTGAGGATGGAATTTGAATTCTCATATTAGGTGGGATGATTTGAGATACGATATAGAAAATTGTGACCTAATGTTTGTAACAGGCATAGCAGATATTCTTTACAACAGGAATAGCAGATACTCCTATTCAGTAAACATCTGTGGGGTATTAAAATTAAATCATAGTATGCTAATGAAAAATTTATTACAGTTAAGATGTGTTCAGAGGTACAACATTTTAGAAGAGAAAGTCATGTGCCTTTGAAAACATACAGTGAAGGCCCTCCCTGGTGGCACAACCGGTTAAGAGCAGCACTATGAAATTAGCCACAGCTGCTTTAGCTCGAGTTTGATCCCTACCTGGGAGGTGGCAGACCTCTCCCCTGACCCACCTACTGCTCCCCTCAGCAGAGTACTTTTGTCAGTCTCACCCCACTCTGTCCCTGGTGAATCCTCTCACTGCACCTCTGGCCTGTACCCTGGTTCTGTATACATAAAGAAATCTTAAAAAAAAAAAAAAAAAGAAAAGAAAACATACAACTTTGCAGTCAGGCATTTTGATAGACCGTTGAATGTCGATACCTCAGTGGCTCAATAAGTCTAGAATATTTGTCAAAGTACAAATTTATTATGTGGAATGATGTTTTAAAGTTTCCAGAGTTTGGGGGTGTCATTGTGGCATTTCACATGCACTATTTTGTTTCTGGTGCCAGCTGGACATATTTGTGACCAAAAGTTTAAAATTTTAGAATTTATATATATATATATATATATATATATTTTTTAAATTTAGATATACTTTAAATGACCTTTCCATACCCGATCTTCCTTCCGCTATGTGAGCATAGTGGAATCTAAATTTATTTTTGGTTAGCTATAAGTGTATTGAACGTAGCTGAGAGATATAGAAAATTGTGACCTAACGTTTGTAACAGGCATAGCAGATATACATAGCTGAGAGTCTTTAAAAATTATTTTTATGTATTTGAAGATATCTTAAAATTTCCAGGAGTTGATAATTTAAATGCTAAATATTTATTTGGAAAAGTGTTATAATTAACTGAGTTCAAAAAATTAGGATATTTTATGTTTTGCTGGTTTATAAGAAACTATTCTTAATGTCATGAAAAATAAATGATTAGTTTTTTTAAAATTAGTACCGCATGTATTGTCAGGCTGCTAAGGAAGTGTTCTACAAACAACCAAGGAAAAGAGAGAAATAAAATCACCTAGATAAAATTTGCGCCCACAGTGTCTTGATTTAGTCCTTATCCTTGGAACTATTGTGATCAGAAGTTTCTCTTTCTTGTATCCAAGAAAATCACAAACATAGAAGTTAGAACAGTAAATAAAACCCAGATTTTCATCATTTACATGTAATAGTATTTTTTGCCATATTTTCTTCTAATCTCTTATACACATTTTATCCCAAATATTTCAGCTTGCTTTTTTAAAAAAGATTTTTCATGCACTACCACAATATTCATTATTACAGCTAGTAACTGGCATGATTTCCTTAATAATATTCCCTGTATAGCCTGTATGAAGTTTCCCCAAGTGGAAGCCGTTAGAGCTGATTGCTCAAACTAGATTCCAGTCAAAGACTATGGAAATGGATGTGGTTTTTATTTTTAGAAGATTTTATTTACTTTTTTTGTAGAGTTGAGGTGTAGGTCAGAGGTGGGGGTTGGGGGGGAGGGCTGAGAGAATTTACCAGAGACAGAGTTGGGAGCAGAACAGGTTGAAAAACACTGCTGAAGGGAGCAGCGGATGAGACAGGAGAGGTTGGTTGTGTCAAGTGGGTCAGCTCCCTGACAGGGGATTGAGCTCAGGCTATTGCAGTGATAGTGCTGAAACTCTACGCCACCAGGGAGGCCCTGGATGTGATTTTTAAAAAGCATTGTGTAAAAACCGAGATTCATACACACCGAAACAAATTCTGAACCTCTTCATGTTTTATTTATTGATGCCAGTAATTCTAAATACAGATTGATTTCACTTGCGGTACAGGCAGATGAGAAGCAGAATCAGATGCCGCTGGCCCCAGTTAATAGCCGAGATGCATTGCAGGTTTCCAGACTGCATTTCAGTTCTATTTTTTGCAGGTCAAATCCAGCAATACTACACATTTGATATCACTTGAGTCTTGAATTGAGATGGTGAAATGTGTTATATCCACCAAGACTCTTAACCACTTATTTATGAAGTGTAAATTTCCCCATATATTTCCAAATCAAACTCACCATGGTTGTTTTAGGAATATATATTCCTATAATTTGCTGGTTTAGCTATACCTTAGAGTCTCTCAATTTGTATAGAAATAAACTATTAGATAAGGAAACTTTCTGGTTGAAAACTGAAAGAATAACTAGTTTTGAAATTTTTACATGAGATTTTAAAAAATTTAAGTGATACTTTTGTAAAAACCATTAAAGTAGGTTAAATTGGTGAAAGCTTAAGATTTTTCTTAAAACAAGTTCTTGATTTTATTTCTAAAATATAGAATCTTGGTATTTAAGAACTATAAAGGTTGTATGTTTTCATATGCAATTTTACTTTAATATTTTCTAAGAAATTGTTTTAACTTCTGTTTTAGTGGAATATTGGTGGACAATACTAAGTTAGATGGACCTTTATTGCAGATTCTTTTTATGAACAATGTTATTTCAAAGTAAGTAATTCCTTTTCCTAAATATGAGTTAATGTGTTTATGAAGGAATGCCTACTATAAATAATGCTCTTGGTTTTCATTTCTACTTTTTTTACTTAAAATTATGGAATTAAGATAAAAGCAAGGACATCGCAATCTCATAAACCTAAATTTGTTCCCAGATTACTACTCTACACATATATGTGATTGTGGATAGTTTAAAGATCCTCTCTGCTTAGGGCCTTTCCTGGTGGCACAAAGGGGTTAAAGCACAGCCATTTCAGCACGAGTTCAATCCCTGGCCAGGGAGGTGACCCACATGGCGCAGCAGATCTCTTCTGTCTTGCCTGCTGCGCTGTGCCCCTCAGCAGTATACTTCTTCAGTCTGTTCTGCTCCCCACTCTTGTCTCTAGTGAATCCTCCCACTCCCCCATATCCTAGTTCAGTATGCATAAATAAATAAATCTTTAAAAAATAAAAGCACAGTAAATAACGTTAGACCTTTCTCCTCCAAAATCAGGTGACTGAGTTTTCCCTGTTGGCTACATTTAAAACCCATGTGCTGTTACAGTTTTTAATACTTTTTAAAGATTTATTTATTTATGCATACTGAACTAGGATATGGGGGAGTGGGAGGATTCACTAGAGACAAGAGTGGGGAGCAGAACAGGAGGATCTACTGAAATACACTGCTGAGGGGACCAGCTGGCAAGACAGGAGAGGTCTGCTGTGCCACATGGGTTACCTTCCTGGCCAGGGATCCAACTCATGTTGCAATGGCTGGCAATAGCTTCAAAGTGCTGAGACAACCCCTTGAGCCACCAGGGAGGCCCTGTTTTTAATATTGAAACTAAACTTTTGCACACCCACAAGAAGCTTGGATAGAGGGTAACTTAAGGCATTCCTGCAGTGCTTGCTCGAGTATTCTGAAACTGAGGCCTTGCCCTTTTTCTTCCTCCGTCAGAGATATCTCAGAGGTTTGTTCACTCTTACTTCACCATATTGCTATCTTTTATGCTGGGCAAGGAGAAGGAGATAATGGAGCCATGTGGCGCATTAGATGTGTGGCAGGCTCATTCCCTGTGCTCTCTCAGCAGAGCCCAGGGCTCTGAAGTGGGGAAAGCTGGGTGGTGAATGCAGCGGCAGCAAGGTCAGTACCAGAGGTGTGATGGCTCTAGCAGTGTTGTTGATACCAGATTAGAACTGGTATCTGCTCTAGCTCACTACAGCATTATTTCTGCAGCATTCACCTGACATTTTGCTGGCAGACATCTCAGAATGACAGAGCTAAAGAGAACTGAAAGAAGTCTGTATGGAGGAAGTTGTTTATCCAACTGACTCCTTTTGGCGCCTCTTGACCAAGGCTTTGAAGAATATGTGTTCAGTGTATTTCTAGAGCTGGACCTCAGTGGTTTTTTTTTTACATTGCATTTTGGTCTTTTTTGTTTGTTTTTTTCCTCCAGCTTGATATCAACATGGGTGTTACCTTGAGTAGAGTCTAGGAGGAGGATATGGAAGAACTGAATGTTTGGTTGTCTTTGTGTTGCAGAAATATGTGTCTAGGAAACAGAGTAGGAAGAAAGCTTTTCAATGTGTAGCTCTTTTAGTTCCTCTGGATTTTGTATTACTCAAATACTAGGCTGTAGAACAAAACCCAGTGTGACAATAGATTTACAGTGATAATTGTTTCAAATCTTTGTTGACTATTTGAAATAGCCCCTAGAAATGGAAAATTTGGGGGAAATCTATAAATACATCAATCCAGATTACATCTCTATAAATTACACAGAATTTTAAGAAATATACACTTATTGTGTACTTAAGTACATAAATTTGTAATTAAAATCTACCTTTTTTTGAATAAATGTTTACTAGCTGCTATAAGGCCAAGGACTGTTAGGTTATTATAATGTTAGTTAACTTGGCAACAAATGTGCATTTTTTCTAAGAAATAGTTTCCTGAGTGTTAGTGTGAACAAATAAAATGACAAAATGCCCCTGATAACTTTTAACAGTGTTTACAGTTTTAATTTAGTCAGTGTTTTACTATGGATTCTGACTATTTCATCCTCTTACACAGGCAATATCATCAAGAAATAGAGGAATTTGTATCAAATTTAGTCAGAAGATTTGAGGACCAGCAGAAAAATGATGTGGAAAAGACTTCCTTTAATCTTTTGCCCCAGGTATTTCAAATTTAAAAGAGTAATAGGTCATGCTTTTTACTACCAATTATTAAGTCATGTGGCTACTCTTGAATCAACTCCTAGTGATTGTTAAGATTGTTCACCTCAAATCCTCCTCCATAGTCAAATGCAGCCATAGGATTTTCTTTCCTTCTTTTTAAAAAAAGGCTTATTTATTTATACATACAAGAACTGGGGTGTAGCGAGAGGTGCACGTGGTGAGAGGATTCACCAGAGTGGGGAGCAGAACAGGTAGATGTACTAAAATACACTGGGGAGGGGAGCATTGGGCTAGACAGGAGGGTCTGCTGTGACATGTGGGTCAGCTCCCGGGCCGGGGATCCAACTTGTGCTGCAGAGGCTGCAGAGTTTCATAGTACTGTAACTTAACTCCTTGCGCCACCAGGGAGGACCTCAATTTCTAAATATTTAAGAAACAACATACGCTTAATGCTAAAAACAATATTATTTAATTTTAATTTGAGGAACACTTAAAAAATTTTGTAGTAGCTTGAGTTCTGTCAAGTATTAGCCAGTAATATAAAATTGCTTTTAATCTTTCTTGTTATATGATTTCAAGATTAAGTCTGCCTTTCCAGGACATTCTATAATTAATATTAATTAACAAATTCATAGCATATGCTAATGATGCTGTTTTTATAATTTTGTTTTCTCACTTGTAAAATTTCTTTCATAAGTATTCCCAGCTTGAAAACTCATCCTAATACCACAGTGATGAATTCAAATTTTTATGCACCTTAATAAGTCTTTTAGAAAGTAAAGGAGTGTATTCAGGTTCCTAATACTTGAAATTTAAAGTCACTAATAATTGGTTATCCCTTTCTAACATGTGTTTTTCTTTGTGTTAGCCATCCAGTGTTATGTTAGAAGAGGATCATAAAGTAGAAGAGTCTTGTGCTGTTAAAAACAACAAGGAAGCTTTTAGTGTAAGTTTGGATGTGTTAGTTTTGAATTCTGCGCTATGATTCCTATCCTATGGCAGTTGGGTGGCACTGAAATGGTAGCCTGCAGTCTGTGTAGTCACAGGTCATCGAGTGATTGCACGTTTATTAAATTTACTATAATAGGGTAGACTTCAGCCTTTTTGTATTATATTTTGCTTCATAATAACTATGCATTGTGACTTGGGGACACAATAGGCCTACTTTGGGAAACTGTTGTCCCGACCAGTCTTTTTATGTTTATTTTTAAGAATTTGGATGAAGATATAGGAAACAGAGTTGTAGAACTTGGAGAAGGGTGAAATTGAGAGGAATAAATAAATATAAAAGATGGCAAATATGAAATTCAGAATGTTGACAGATTTAAATGGTGGGCAAAAAAATAGAAGAAACTTAATGGTGATAAGCTACATTAAAACTTCAGTACCTGATTACAGTTGGATGCAGTGTGGTGGTGTGATTTTTGTATTCTGTAACTTTTTTAAAGAAGATAATCTTGAATTCTGTTGAAGAAAGATGAGTTTTCGTGTTTATGGGGTGTTGTGTCCAATTTTGAGGGCTTGGGGGTGTTGGAATGGGGTGTTGGAATGATGAAGAGCTTACAGACATTATTGACAAGAGTTTCACATCTCTGTGAATGTGATAATGGCTATTATTTACAAAAGGCACCATTTTAAGTCATTCTGTATAGCGTCAAATGGAAGAGTTAGGAACTAATTGAATTAAGTACAGAAAAAGAACATTTCAGCTAAAATTTCAGAAAGCAAAAGTCTGTCAGAGATGTGAAAAATGTAATGGTGTATCTTAAAAAATGTGAACTCCATAGTCAAAGACCAAAATCCTGTCAGGACACGTGAATGAAAAATTTCTGAAATTTAATTGATAATTTTTCATTTTCTTTTTAATACTAAGTACTAGGATTTATAATAGTATCTTTCTGGGAATTTTGTGTATTTCTTTAGTCCTTGAGTAGGTACTAGTAAATATTTACTGATGCTTCTTGGGCCAAGCAATGTTTTTGGTTCCAGGAACACAGCAGTGAAATAAGGGGCAAAGTTCCCACTCTCAGTGAGTTATATTCTAATGGGGTGCACAGTGAAGCAAGATGGGAGGTCCACATTACCTGGGGACTCCTCTGCTTGGGTAGTGAGTGGTTAGTGAGCCAAGACCTGAACAGCCTGCGGGGTTGAGCCTCACTCTGGGCTGGAGTTTGGGAGGGTCAAGCTGTGAGGTAGAGGCAAGCCCAAATTGCTCACCATCTCCCCAGCCTCAGTACATTACAAATATTACTTGTGAAGGTGCTATGATTACTTTTGTCACAGAAACAGACCAGCTGAGTAATTTGTTGGTTGCCCCTTGGCTAATAGTGACAAAACCAGGTTTGAATCCAGATCTTCTGTCTCCAGAGTATATATCATCTGAATCTTTATGTTGCATACTAGGCCATAGTAAGGACTTTGGATTTTACTCTGAATGAGATGAGGCTATAAGAAGGTTTAAGCAGAAATGTGACATGAATTTTTAAAATAACTGGCTTCTATATGGAAAATAGTCTGTAGCTGTTTGCAAGTGGAAACAGAAGCCCAGTTAGGACATTATTGTGTTGACATCAGGTGAGAGAAAATGGCAACTTAGACTAGAGTGAAAGTGGTGGTGATGAGAAATGTTAGAACATGGATATACTTTGAGAGTAGAATTGATCAAATGTATTAAACAGTTGGATATAGAATATGGAAAGTAGTGAGAATGCTGAAGGAGCTGTAAGATTTTTGTTACCTTTGCTGTGATGGGAAAGACTGGATGGAGAAACAGATTTCGGAAGGAGTAGGAATCCAGTGTAGTTTTAAATGAGTGAGTTTGAAATGTTTATTATGTGTCCAGTGTGAGCTGACAAGGCAGCACTTCACATATGCAGGATTGGAGTTCAGGAACCAGAACTGAACATTTGGGGATTGTCAGCATATAAATTATATCTCACACCCTGATTCTGGGTGAATCAGTTAGGAATGAAAGTATAGAGGAGGACTATGCAATGATCCTTAGAGAAGGGGATTGAGCAAAAAAGACTGAGATGAACTGGTTAGCAAGGTTGGAAGAAAAACGAGAAGGGTGTCCAGTATCCCAAGTGAAGGTTTTCTAGAAGGAAGAAAGGAGTCAGCAGTGTCAGTGATTGCTGTTAGGTTAAGATATAGATGGGGAGCTGGTTGTTGAATTTGGCTGTGTGTAGGCCCTTTGAACAGCTCTATCATCAGAAGCTTAGTACCCTGTTGGAAGGCTTAGAGGAGATGTCCTGGAGGGAACATAATGCCATTTTAAACAAAAGTGGAGCGAACACTGTAGATTAGAGGAGACAAAAGGATATCTCTAGATGCAACATGAGAATCCTCATCAAATTCTGCCTTGGGTTTTTAAAAGAAGTTACAAAGGCATTTTAGGACCATTTGGGGAAAATTGAATATATATTGAAGATAGATGATATTAGGGAGTTTTTCCTTAGGTTTGACAATGGTATTGTGGTTTGTAGGAGAAGGTTCTTACTCATTGCAGGCTACTCGAAGTATGTGAGTGGTAAAATGTCAGGAAAATTGTCTGTAACCACATAACCTGTGCATAAGCGAAAGACCAGTTAGGATGTTTGTATTAACCTTTGACGAGGGAAAATAGTGTCTTAGACAAGATAGGAGTGATAATGTCCTTTCTTTTAGTCACTCAATAAGAAGAAAGACAGACTTGTGCACAAAAATGTCAGTTAACAATTATGAATTTACATAGAACCTGGTTTTGACTGTACCATTTTTCAGTTCATTATATAAAGTTACAAAATTTGAAGAGAAAAAAGTATGAAGAAAGGAAATGAGAACATAGATAAATTTTCTGCAAGTCTTGCTACAAAGAAATGAGAAACGGGGGATGGACGAAAAAATGTACAAAATGAAGAATGATTAAAATATTTATATATATATAAAATAAAATGAAAAGTCAATGCTCTAGGAGACAAAGGAAGCTTAAAGATGTAGCTTTTATTTGCACATGGATATCTGGCTCCTTTTATAAGGAGTTGATGATCATCATTTCTGATGATTCTATCCAAAAAAAATTTTTAGAACAATTAATCTTAGTCTTACATTATTTAATGTCTTTTTTCCTGCATTTTCAAATAGCAATATTTTTGACTTGTTTTCTGCAGGTTGTAGGAAGTGTCCTGTATTTTACTAATTTTTGCCTTGATAAATTGGGGCAACCGCTACTAAATGAAAACCCTCAGCTTACCGAAGGATGGGAAATACCCAAGTATCCTACATAGTGAATGAAGATCTTTTATGCATCTTGCCAATAAGTTCACCTTTTAAAAAATTTACCATATTTTGCAGACTATGATAACTATTCCTTAATAAAATTCACTAAAGGTACCAGCAAGTCTTCAGCCACATTGTTTCTCTAGAAGGGCAAGAAATACAAGTAAAGGCAAAAAGGTTTGTGTGGGCAGTTGTTTTCATTTTCTTCTTTTATTTAAAACCAAAATTATAAACTCTTTTAGCTTGAATAGTTAATAGTCTTTATAGTTAATAGTCTTTATTGCTGGGTTACTATAAAGTTAATTACAGTTTGATCTGGCATTTCAATATATAGACATATATTAAATGTTCAAATCAGTCATCTGTGTATTGGAATACACTCCCAAGGGTTCATTCCCAAGGTCTCTGGGTGGGTGGAAAGGTGTCATTATTGCTGGCTATTTAATTGCTGTCTTATGACCATTTGCCCCTTCCCATATTAACTAGAGGAAATAAAATCATCTGTTTGCCTCAGTTCTTCTGTTTTGAGCCAGAATTCACAAAATTCAAGAGGTAACAGATGAATTAGGAACATAAGGTTTCTTGGTGAAAAGATGAGTAAAAGTACTGTTTATTTACATCACTAAGTACAGGTGATGAAAGTGTACTAATTATGCAGATGTTAGTAACCTGAGGTCTTGGTGCCTTTTTGTCTAATACAGTTTGGTATCATAAAAAATTTTATTGATTTGCTCTTATGATTTTATTTACATTGTGAAAATCTTTGTTTTTTGATCAAATAGGCCAAAGCCTCACTGTTTCAATTGTGGTTCTGAAGAACATCAGATAAAAGATTGCCCAATGGTAAATTTTTCTCATATAAAAAAATCTTTGAACCAGAGTTTTCTCATTATTGTGACATATTTATGGCCTGGTGTGACATGAAGAAACTTCTGTAGCCCTTGAATGTGAAGTCTTTCCAAATTCATACCTAACATTAGAGTAAAAAAATAGTAATAGTGGTCTGTGCTTGAGGTGAATGAAACATTATGTAGAAATTAATTTTTAGAGTTGGTTGTAAAAACTTGATTTTATATTATGGTAATGTCAAGGTAGCAAGTTAGTGACTTCTTTTCCTTGATTGTTTTTCTATGATATCTGCCACTTTTATACTTATACCCTTTATAGTAAAATTGTTTGACCTTAAACAAAGTACCTGCATTTCCTTAATCTCTGGACTATTTCTAAACTGCTTGATACCATTCTTTTCAAATACATTACCATTTAGCCCCGTAATGCTGCGCGAATAAGTGAAAAACGGAAAGAGTACATGGATGCCTGTGGTGAGACAAACAATCAGAATTTTCAGCAGCGATACCATGCTGAAGAGGTCGAGGAGAGATTTGGAAGATTCAAACCTGGAGTTATTAGGTACCTCTGTCAATTTTAACATACCATTTCTGTTTCCCCAGTACTTAGAATGTTTTGTGTATATTGGGGTAGTTTTTAGTATTTAAGGATTCTCTAGCATGTCTATCAATCAGAAACATTCATTGAAATCTTAACAATTATCTGTTAGGTACATACCACATGTTATGTAACATAGGACAGAATTATTTTTAAAATAGCAGATGTCTTTTAATCCAAATAACAATATTTTTTCTTCTTTTCTTTATATTTAGTGAGGAACTTCAGGATGCTCTGGGGGTGACTGAGAAAAGTCTTCCACCCTTTATATATCGAATGCGCCAGCTGGGATACCCACCTGGGTGGCTTAAAGAGGCGGAGTTGGAGAATTCAGGACTTGCACTCTATGACGGACGAGGTATAGCATGTAACACTTAAGTCAGCTTAAGTGTTGTCTTTTTCTTTTTTTCTTCAAAAATCAGAATGTGATAGGATTTATTGGCTTGTTTAGTGTATGCTGAGTTAACTAAAATAGTTTGATGGGTGTTTCCTCTTTTGCAAAGAAGGAAAAAAATTTCATTGAAAATTATTAGATGGATATCTGGATTTGCTTTACTACCTGGGCAAAATTACCAACTCTCCAACTAATCCTCATAATCTCTTGCCTTTCTTGGTAATGGTAATAGGAATACGTAAATACCAAGAGAGAAACCTGTGGAAATTAGATTACTGACCTTCTTGTAGTGTAGTGTTCCTCTCATAGGTATCCGCTCTAGCAAAGTATTCGCATGTGTACAAGGAAATGTTTGTATACAATGATACATATTTTTTAAATAATATATTGGTTTATTTTTACTCATTTTACACATTTTTTCATCTCAGTTGTAATCCCCGTGGGCTTCCCATCACCAAATCACCCACGTGCCATAATCATAGTCCAGTGCATTCCTCTCCCCCCACTGTTTTTGATCCCATTCCCCACTCCACCCCCATAAAATGTCTCTGGTATATAGCTGTTCACAATTATTTTCTCGCCTGGTCTGTTATACTCCTGCTACTCACTACTCCTGTGAGTGAAACCATCCGGTATTTTTCCTTTTTTTTTCTGGCTTATTTCACTAAGCATGATCTTCTCCAGCTCCATCCATGTTGCTGCAAAACACATGTGTTTATTGTTTTTGGTTGCTGACTAATATTCCATTGTGTATATGTACCACATCCTTTTAATCCAGTCATCCACTTTTGGGCATTTGGGCTGTTTCCATGTCTTTCCAATTGTAAATTAAACAGCAATAATCAGTGTTTTTGTGTCTTTTGGGTAGATACCTAAGAGTGGGATTGCTGGGTTGTAGGGAAGCTCCATGTTAAGCAGTTTGAGGAACCTCCAAACAGTTTTCCATAGTGGTTGTACTAGTTTGCATTCCCCCAGCAGTTTAGGAGAGCTCTTTTTTTCTCCACATCCTCTCCAACATTTGTTGTTGCTAGTTGTTTTAAGATGTGCCATTCTCACTGGTTTTAACTTGTATCTCCCTTGTTACAAATGATGTGAACATTTTTTCATATGCTTGTTGGCCATCTGCATTTCCTCTTTGGAGAAGTGTCTTTTTAGCTCTTCTGCCCATTTTTTGATGGGATTGTTTATTTTTGTTGAGTTTCATCAGTTCTTTGTATATCTTTGTGATCAATCCTTTATCACTAGTTTTGTGTGAGGAAATTTTTTCCCAATCATTGGGATGTCTGTCTTTTTATACAATGATATTTTTATAATGTTTAATATAATAGCAAAATATTAAAAAAAGGGTATCCCTGGTACCCTAGGGGTTGTCTCATCGCTGTCACCATAGTGGCCTGAATTGGATTCCTGGAGCTGCTCCCCTTAGCAGTGTATTTCAGAAAATCTGCCTGTTCTATTCCCTGCTCTGTACCTCATGAATCCTCTCATTCCCCATACCTCTGGCTACATCCCAGTTCTTCTGTGTAAAAATAGTTAAAATCTTTAAAAGAGGGCCCTCCTTGGTGGTGAATGGGTTAGAGTGCAGCACTGCAAGCTAGCTGCAGCTGCTTCAGTGCAAGTTTGATCCCCAGCCCTAGAGGTAATAATCCACATGGTGCAGCAGACCTCTCCTGCCTCGTCTTCTGCTCCCTTCAGCAGTGTACTTCATTGATCTGCCTATTCTGCTTGCCACTTTGCCTCTGGTGAATCCTCTCACTGCCTCTGCACCTCTGGCCTGCACCCCAGTTTTGTATGTATAAATAAACAAATATTTTTTAAATCATTAAAAGAAAAAAAATTAGCGACACTGTCAAGACCTATAGTTATGTCTTGGGCCTCCCTAGTGTGTAAGGTTTAAGTTTCAGCTCTATCAAGCTATCACCAGCCACTGCAGCATGAGTTCAGTCCCAGCCAGGGAGCTGATCCACATGGTTCAGCAGATTGCTCTTGTCTCTCCTACTACCCTCACCAGTGTATTACAGTAGATCTGCCTTTATTTAATAAAGGAGATGCTATTAAGACTACTAATAACAATAGTAGTTCAGGGATACTTGAGAATCACTCTGTCTTTTGTGAACCCTCTCAGCCCCTGCACCTTTGGCCTTATATTCATAAATATATATATATATTCATGTATATATATATTCATAATATATATATAAGAGCACCCCAGCTCTTATATTCATAAATAAATAAAAACTTAAAAAAATTTAATTATGAAAAAGGAATGCAGTCTCAAAAGGATATTTTGGATATACTGTTATGTCAAAATTTCATGTTTAAATCTGGCTACTAAATTTTAAAAAAGTTCTTGAACTTGGAGACCTCCTTTAAGCACTATGATGCTATCTGCAGCACGAGGGAAATCCTTGGCTAGGGAGCTGACTCATGGTGCAGCAGATCGCTCCTGTCTCGCCTGCTGCTCACCTCAGCAGTGTAATTCAGTACATCTGCCTGTTCTACTTCCTGCTCTGTATTTGTGACTCCTTTCACCCCAGACACCTCTGGCTTATACCATAGTTGTTCTAGGTAAAAATAAATAAAATCTTTCAAAAAAATAATTAGTGGTCCCCAAGTATCCTTGAGTGACTACTGTTATTGGTAAAGAGGTCTTAATAGCGTCTCCTTTATTAAATAAAATGCAAGCATTGGAACAGAGAATGAAACAGATAGTAAGGTCAGTACAAAAGAGACTTTCAAGCAACCCATGGAAGAATCAAAGTATCCAAGATTTTAAATACTTATTTTTTATCAAAGTACCATGTTGATATTGGTTTAAAATTTTCTTGGTTCTGACAAATTATAATTAAAAGCCATTCTCTGAACAATGCTGTTGCCATGAATATTAACTCTGCTGATGGTCTGTGACAGATGATACAGATGGGGAAGCAGAAGCGGGGGAAGTGAAGCAGCATCAGAGTGTCACTTATGACCTCTCAAAATTGGTGAACTACCCAGGTTTCAACATTTCTACTCCCAGGGGAATTCCAGATGTAAGTATACTGTGGTATTATTCTGGAATGTAATAATTATGATGTTTAAAGATCGTTCAGAACATTCTGTAGGCAGTTGTATTGTTTTCCTTTAGGGCACTGTTATTTTCATTAGTTCTCCCAAAAAGGAAAATCACATATGAGAACTTCTGTACCTTTGCACTAAACCTCACAGCATGACATTTTCCAAATATATGTTTATTTTCTCCTTCTCTTTTCCTCATTAGGAATGGAGGATGTTTGGTTCCATACCAATGCAGGCATGCCAGCAGAAGGATGTGTTTGCCAGTTACCTGACTTCTAACATCCATGCGGTAAATAGATTGTCAGGCTATGTTTTTACTTTATTTTTTAAAGATTCATTTATTTATGCATACAGACCCAGGGTGTAGGCCAGAGGTGCAGGGGCAGTGAGAAGATTTACCAGAGACAGAGTAGGGAGCAGAACAGGCAGATTGACCAAGTACACTGCTGAGTTGAGCAGCAGGTGAGGCAAGATAAGTGTGATGCGCCATGTGGGTCACTTCCCTGACCAGGAATCGAACTCATAAGGGGATCAACTCATGCTGAAGTGGCTGCAACTAGCTTCATAATTCTTGGCTTTAACCTGTTGGGCCACCAGGGAAGGCCCTGGACTGTGGTTTTTGAAAATTGATAGCATTTATCTGTGGGATCGGTGACTCATTTGCATCTTTATTGCCTTTTTTTGCTTTGCATATTGTTTTCTGATGAGTCAAAGGAAAAAACAGGGTCTTTGGTGGCACAAGGGGTTAAAACAGCACTGTGAAGCTTTCGGTAGCCATTGCAGCACTTTACGAGTTCGATCCCCCTTCAGTGAGGTGACCCACATGGCATGGCAGACCTCTCAGCAGTGAATTTCAATCTGTCTGTTCTGCTCTCTACTCGTCTCTGGTGGATCCTCTCACCCACCACACCTCTGGCCTGTATCCCAGTTCTTGTGTGCATAAATAAATAAATCTTTTAAAAAGGAAAAAAACAGCTAAATTCACCAGTTACCTAGTTTTAGCTTCAGTGAAGGGATGGAATGACTCTTTTTCTACCCTACCTAACCAGTGTTTGGCTTGGTTTCCCTCTTAGGCGAGCATGAGGTCTAGTGGCAGCAAGAGGTCTTCATCCCAGTCTAGTCCTGGGAGTCCAAAGAAGCAGAAGAAGGAAACCAGTTCAGCAGCATTGCCCGTGGACATGGAGCTCAACTCTGGTAGGTTTCATCCTGTGCTTTTGATGATGTGAGAAGGTGAGACTTATTTGTCGGTTGGTGAGTTCCACAAGAAATGAGAACCCCTCTATAAGCACTAACTAAATAGTAAATCTTTTATACTTAGTGATCAGAGCATTTCTGCCATTACTGATAAAAGCTGAGTTGGAAAACAGCTTGGTGTATGGGTCAGAAAGCCAGCAAACTGGAATCCCCACTAAGGCAAACCCACTACAGCCCCAGCTGCCCTGCATCTGCACGTCAGGATTGGGGGGAATGTGTGTCCTACCGGAAGCTGGTCCCAAGAGGAGGAAGTACAGCTGAGCTGAGCTTTCTTAGCTATTCTTCCCAGCTCTTGTTAATTCAGTACATTGCCCCTTCTGCCCACTTGGGAAAGAGGAAAAAGCTGGCCTCCTGGGAACCTACCCCCATGTGAAGGCCTTGCTTCCTTGATACCAACCACTGCTCCTTTGGGTTTTCTCTTGGGACTACTGATGAGTAGTTTACATTTTACCCCCAGAAGGTTTTGCAATGGATCCAAACTTTCTTAAACTCTAATGTCCCTCTGAATTCACTCCTTATTCTGTTTTTCATCGTAGATTCTACCCAGCTATTGGGTCCTACATAACAACAGGTATTCTGAAGTGGGATTAAATGGCAACATTAAGATAAATGCATATAGACACTCTTAATAGTAAGATACCAACAATAGATATGAATATACTTAATTTCTATTGAATAAATTTGAATAAATTTGAATGTAAACCACGTTCCCATTTTCCTATTTCCAGGGAGAATTTAAATGAAATTCCTTACAGTCCAGAGAAATTGAAGTCCCAAATTAAATTATTTTGACTTCAGAATCCCCAAACCATCCTCCGTAATTTTTTTTACTCTGCCAAGGGCATTCTTGATGCCTGCCTGAGTAGAGTTCACAGCCTAGACTTTTGGTACCTGCAGTTTTACTTCAATAGTAGCCTCACTTTTAACAAGGTCAGAGAGTTTATGAAGCATAGAATTATTACAACCTTTGCCACATACCTATAAAATTTTGAAAACATGCAATTCCTAAAGACCCAAAAGTAGTTGTTCCAGACAAAATTGTGTTTCTGGAGCAGCCTTATCCAAATTACCAAAGGCCATAACCAAGTAGGTGGGCATATCTTATTGTGGCTTTATTACAGGTTTGGCTTTATCTCAAGAGGCAGAAGATTATAAAGAAAACCAGCTCCCTTTGCTAATGGTTGGGACCAAAGGGTGTTAAGCAAGCAGCCTGCGACCTCTGAATGCCATTGGTTCAGCAAATACCAGCAGAGGCCTTGGTACACAGGCATGGCTGATGAATGCATTCAGTCCCATACCGCAGGCTCAGGCTGTCACCACTGCCTCTGAGCCAGATACAGTTCCTCCTCAGGAAGTATGGCTGAGGCCATACTCACTATGGGTAGTATGGAATGCCAATGTGTCATTTCAGGTCTTTTAGGCATGGAACTCTTGCCCCTGCTGCATACCTTAGAGATGGGCCTGTAGAAGCCTCTACAAAGGTCAGGTGCTATAAAGCTCTTCAGCCTTCCTGTGTCTCCCAGCCCCTCGTCACTCCATCCTTCTGTTGTTTCTCAGTGTTCCCTGTCCAGGTTTTAGATCTTTGAGGGTGTAAGTTCTTTGAATGATCATCAACAATCAAAGTTAGGATTTTTGTTACTGGTTAGAAAGAGAGGGCCAGGACTAGGGTGGATGGTGTTGAAGATGAACAGCACAAAGCCAAGTTTTAGAATTGCTTAGCTGAAGTGCCAAGAGGGCTGCTGCTTGAAATAGGCAGGTTTATTCACACTCAGGTAAATTTCTTTCCCACCCCTAGTGTCATCATAACCTGCCACCAGCTTCCATTCGGCATGGCAGGAGTGCAGTTCAGGTGCTTCTCTGGACAGATGGTTTCCAGAAAGACAAACACTGAGTGGGTCTAATGTCATTTTTCCTGTGGAAAATTCTGCTAGCAAATTTCACAAACCTGGGGGACAATACAATTGTGAATGTCTTTTCCTGTTTTTTTTTTTTTTAACATTTGTTAATAGTATTTATTGTGATACTGGGGTTAATGTAATGTTTGGTTATAGTTTATTCTTAAAAGTGTAACATACATTACTCAAAAAATGTAATCATTAAGCTGTGTTCTCTTCCCTTCCCTCCCCCACTGCTCTTCTTTCTCCTCTTAGGCCACTTTGCTGTAGTTAATAGCAAATAGCAACCGTGTCCTTGTAATTATTGAGGCTGAGCAGTGCTGTTCATCTTCAACACCATCCACCCTACTCCTGGCCCTCTCTTTCTAACCAGTAACAAAAATCCTAACAGCATCTCTGGAATTGCCCCTTAATTCAGACTTCTCTGTCAATTATCATTCTTGATACCCTTACAAGTGAATTTTTTTCAGTCTTTCACTTTTTTTTATCCATTCTTTTTTCTTACGTGTTAACTTAGTAAAATCTAAGTGACCAGTATGTTATACTCTTCTGAATGTTACTGCCTGAACAATAATGGTTTTCATAGCCTTTGAAATTCCATGTTGTTCTGTTGAATTTTCCACAAACACTACTTTAGACCCCTCTGCTACACTATATCGTGGGGGACAGAAGATTGAGTAAGACAGCTACTGCCTTTGCTCACTTCCCTTTGTCACTAAGAAACTGCAGATTATAAATGCCACGTTCCTATAAAGGTAGTGGCCCATTGTGACACACAGAGTGGGTATATTTTGCTGCCGCTGAGCTTATTACAATCTAATGGAGGCACAAAGGAGAAACTGAGTCCCTACTCTTGACAAGGACTTTGTGCCGCTCTCAAAGGGTCTTTTAGGGAGAGGAGCAGCAGGCTTTTGAGACAGCAGGAAATGCGAGTGCAGAAGCAGGTCTTATCAACACTGGGCCAATCATGATGGCAGCATGTAAACCAGGCAGTAAGGAGTAACCTGATGAAGTAGGTAGATTCTTGGGCATAGAGAACTTTATACGGCCTGCGGGACTTCATCCTGTCACTAACGGGAAGGCACTAAAAATTTCTAATGAGGTGGGACAGTTAGCAGGGCCAGCTTTGTTTGTATTTTGGAAAGATAGATTAGTAGTCTAGAGGCAGGGATGGCTGCAATATCCCTTGCCAAAGTAGTAGGCTTGAAAATAAGGTAACAGCCATGAGTCACTACAGGAAAGGATGGATCTCAGAGATCCAAGAACCTGGGGTGTGGCAGCAGAAAAGGGAGAACTGGAATTTTGGTTTTGGAAACTTCGACCAAATTCCACTGTATTGGAGAGAACAGTGAGTTGAAGAGATACCAGGTTTTAGGAGAATTTCCTTTGTTCTGGACACGTCAGGTCTAGTGGGTCCATAGGACATACAGGCCTAGGTAAGTAGCTGGATGAGGGACAGCCTTAGGAAGGAGACCACTGTCCCCTGCCTGTCTCCTTGCCTCCATCTCCAGCCTTCCCCCACTCAGTGATGTAGCCGCCTACATTTCTGGCCTGATTTCCTAGTGTCCTTCCAGGAACCCCAACCTTTGCTTACAGCAGGCTACCTAGAAGTGACTATAGATCGGCATGCCCTGATTTTCTTGTCCTTTTTAAAATGATACAGACAGCGTGGACACTGGTTTCCCGAGAGGTTTTGTCCTGCCAGCTCCCCTGATACAGTCTTCTCAGGTGGATTAGAGGACTTTAGGTGATGGTCTTGATAACTGACACCCACAGAATTTCCCCTCAAGCCAGTTATTTTTGTCCATTGAATCTCCAAATATACCTGAATTCAAATATCTGTCAGTAAAACTGAGTGCTGGAACAACTTAAAAATATCACAACTTTCTCATTTCAGATGTAGAGCACCAGCAGGGCTCTCTGGGTGGGGAAGCTTTTCAGTTTCAGCCCCCACTGCCCCGGGAAACTCCACCACCTATCTTCAATCCTCCGCTGCCCAAGGGCACCCCGCCACTGACTCCCAGTGACTCACCCCAGACCAGAACAGCGTCTGCAGCCATGGACGAAGATGCTCTGACTCTGGAAGAACTAGAAGAGCAACAGAGGCGAATATGGGCAGCCCTGGAGCAGGCAGAGAGTGTGAACAGTGATTCTGATCTTCCTATGGACACACCCTTGACTGGGAATTCGGTTGCTTCTTCCCCTTGTCCAAATGAGCTAGACTTGCCTGTCCCGGAGGGAAAAACCTATGAAAAGCAGATGCCAGATGAGCCTGAGTTCACGAACACTCATGCAAAGAAATCAGAAATGGAACAGTCCTTGAGTCCGGATTCTGAGGCTGCAGTGCCTTGTGAGAAGGAAGAGGAGGCGTCTGCTCAAGTGGGCGCTAAAGATGCTTGTCTTGGTAATGGCAACGTTGTACTAAACTGTGATATGCAGAATGGAGGCAACCAGAAAGACCTTCATGTGGACACCAGCCCCTCAATGGCCACTAAAATTCACAGTCCTGTACCTGACATGAGCAAGTTTGCGACTGGAATAACACCATTTGAATTTGAAAATATGGCAGAATCTACTGGAATGTATCTGAGGATAAGAAACTTGTTAAAGAACTCCCCTCGAAACCAGCAAAAAAACAAAAAAGCTTCTGAATAACTGTTTGACATAGCACCAAGAGTTATTTAATTGTAACTTTGTGTTCTGTTAACTAGTAGACAGACAAATTGTCTTCTCATTGCCCCTCCCATGTTTAAAAATCCATCCAAGGCTTAATTGTGATCTAAAGTCAGGCCAATGTTGAAGAACGGGAAAACTGGGCTTGCTGGTTCACTGTGTTTTATTCTCACTGATAAAAACTTGGGGTGGTGGAGGGAGGGGTGCGGGATATAAATACGTGCTGGTTTCCGGATAGTTTCTTGAGATTTATACTATTTTTGGAGTGTGTCAGGAATGATGGTTTTATCTGTCTTTTGTACATTGTTTTCCCTTTCTACGTTTTGCTAATTACCCTGTATATAAGTTTAATATATCACTTTTTAAAAGAAAAAATTCTAACCATTTTAAATTCATATTTCAACTCTGGTAACCAAATGAAAATCAGGGATGAGCCGCTTTGCCCCATTTGGGGTATTTTTTTGTAAGTGATTTACATACATCAGTTTTAATAACACTTTTACTTTTTGTAACTTCATTCTTCATATGAGCTTGCTATAAAGGTATGTTCATCTTTGTGTACAAGGTTTAATAAATTAGTTTTCACATACATAATCTAAGACTTTGAATATAAAAAGGCGATTGACAGTGTATATGAACCATTTAAGTTGGAAGTAAATCATGTGGTTGCAAAAATTAGTGGTAGCGAAAGTTAATAAAAGAAATTGCAAGTCTGGGTCTTTTCAGTGAATTTCAGCCTTAAATATAGAAATAGCAGCATCTTTTATTAGAGTAATTATTTTGGGAAATAATGGAGAGCAGCTAACCTTTGTACAAAAGTTTTTTGAGAGTTGGACCCCTAAGGTATTAGTGAAAAATAAAAAGAAGACATAAATAATTTTAATCATTAACTATACGAGATGAGACTGTTCTTTTTTTGTCTTTATGTGGAATTACATCTCTATTGTCATGAAGTCCATGAAAATAAACATTCGGATCTTAAATTCTGTCTCAGGTAGTGCTGTCCTGCTCTCAGGCCAGCAGAGGGCGCAAAATGTAATCTCCAGATTTGGCTTTCATTTTGAAAACTTGAGTAACAAAATTTACTGTTCTAAAGGGAATGGGGGAAATTTATTTTCAAGGCACACACAGAACCTGCTAGTAAATGTTAAATACCTTTCACTTTCTGAGTTTATGTAATAAGTATTTTTTTTTAAGATTTGTGCATACAAAAGCTGAAGTATAGGCTAGAGGTGTGGGGGTGGGGTAGGAGGGGTAGTGAGTGGATTCCTCAGAGACAAAGTGGGGAGCAGAACAGGAGATCTACTGAAATACACTACTGAGGGGACTAGCTGGGTGACAGGAGAGGTCTGCTGTACCATGTGGGTCAGCCCCCTGGACAAGGATTGAACTCAGGCTGCAGTGACTGGCTATAGCTTCATAGTGCTGAGACTTAACCCCTCACCACCAAGAAGGCTCAATGAAAGTAATTTCTTAACATAGTTATGATACTGGGTGGCGGAGGGCTCTAAACTGGCCAAGGCCCCACCATTCAAACACTGCCAAATACTGTGGGTTCCTCACACAGGTACACAACCACAAGACTGCTCAGGCATAGGAAACAACAAAGGGATTTAACAAATGGTAACAAAACGAGTTTCTGAGGTAATAATGGCTGTTTACCCAAAGTCATGTCCAGTACTGTCCAGGCTTGCACGAAGACCGTTATGGTGTCTTCCTACCACTGAGGATGTGATGTTCCTCTCCCAAACAGCAGGCCACATTTATAAGATGTCATCCTATGCCAATCTGAGGCACACGGCAGCCAGACTCCACGCCAGGTTCCAACTCATGAAGACAACAGAAAACACAAAAGGAGATTCTTCCAGAGCTAAGCTGCAGGATGCTTCAGCCCAGCACCAGATAAGGGACACTCAGTTCAGCAGTCACAACCACAAAAATGACCCCCTAAAAGGCCTCACTCAGCTAAGCCAGTTTGTATCTGCAGCAAAACCAGGAACCTTTTCAGTAGCTTGGCTACTTGCAAAGCCTCTTCCTCTGGCCTCCACCTTAAGAAATCTGCAGTGGCCTTCTCCAAAATTAGCCTAAGCCTCTTCCTCTGGCCTCCACCTTAAGAGATCTGTAGCGGCCTTCTCCAAAATCAGCCCGGAAGGACCAGGTTTCAAATCCACTGACCCCCAAAATGCTGAAGCCACTCCCACCTGGAAACCTGGGACCCAGATAAAAAACAACTTTCTTCCTTCTCCATCTACTTCTTTGTGCTCCAGTCACTGCTACTCCCTCTCCAAGGTAACCCCTCTTCAATATCGATACTTTTTAATGTTTTCCCTGAGTCTTTTTGTCTTCACAGCAACCCCCTCAGGAAGTGGCACCACCTGCCACAGTCCTTGGCCTCACTTCCCTCCTCCACCTCCACTGTTATTTTAGGTACATTGTTTACTATTACACTGACAGATAATTACCACTTTATAACGTAAGGAAATTTTAGTGGTATAGAGTGGTTAAAGAGTGGTTCTACAGAAACTAAAGGTGTGCTTGTCCCCAAGTCATGGAAGTTGCCTGGGTGCCACTCTAGGGGTTGTTCGTAAGATTTTTAATCTGAACCCTGGATACCTAAAAGTTACCCCTTTAGTATATATTATAGACCACATGCTTAGGTATTTCCATGTATTTCCCCATTTTCACAATCACCATGTTAAGCAGTTAATTTCAGAGGAAAATGCCAAAGATAGACAGCAGGCAAGTAGTCTAGTGAGCCTGTTAGGGGGAAGGATGTCCTAAAGGTACTCTGCAGAGTCTTATGGACTCCACTCCCTACTCCAGCTTTCTGGACCCTACCCCCTACTCCAGTGATTGGAAACTACAACTCCCAGCAGTACCAGGGAAAGAACTGCGAGGACCCAAGGGCAGAGCTAGCAGGAATTCTGGGACATTTGGGAGATAATTAGGGTTCGGATTGCATTGCTCCCTTGCTCCGCTTGCTAGCTTGCATCTCTTTCTCCTCTCTCTCTCTCTCTCTCCCTTCTCTCTCTCTCTCTCTCCCTTCTCTCTCTCTCTCACTCGGACTGCATCGCTCTCTCTGTCTCTGTCTCTCTCTGCTCTCTATTTTCTTTTTGTTGCAGGCACAGAGAGTGACTCAAGTTAGCTCAGTTCTAAGAAAGAAGCAAAGCCCTTGATTATTTTTCCAACGTTTTGTGAAAATCAAATTAGGAAAGAAAGGGGGGGGCATAAAGTGCGAATTTGGGCGAATTTGGCTGTTACTGTAATATCATTGGTGAAGATCAACGAACCAAAGAAACTCAATTCAAAGAGGTAGCAAGCCTCGTGGGCCTGGTGGGGAAGGCATCCACGACCGGGAGCAGCTGCAGCATCTTTGGGTCAGAAGGCAAATGATGAGGAACAGCAACGCCAGACTGAACAGACTGAAAAGCTCGCACTGACAGGAAATGGGAAACGGGAGCTGGTTGCAACCCAGCAGCGTGGGGGAGTGGTCGAAGGCCCTGCCCACTCCCTAGCCCCGCTATGGTGATGCAGCAGCAGTGAAGCGCAAGTGCTGGTAAGCTGAGAACCGGAAACACAAAGCAGTTCACATTCTACAACAGAAACAGATTAAAGAAGGTAAGTACACGAGAGTTGGCAGAACTATTTATACACCGCCTTCTGCTTCCACATGAGTATGAGCAAGTGGAGTAAGTGCGCACACTGCACACGCTCTTTCTCTACCTAAAGACGGTGGCTCAGGCTGAAGCCACTCCGAGAGCCTGGCCCAGCAAGTGAGAGGCCTAGCGATGTGTCCAAAGCGCAAACCAATCAAACACCAAGTGAATCTACACGTAGGAAATTGTCTCAAACGGAAAATTACCCAAAATTTGTGCCATCCGGAGCCCTCCCCAATCCTAAAAGGTGTGCTGGGCCTGTCACCACCGTCATTTCTGAGCTCCCGTGGAACAGGCCACTTAGTGAGACCTAGCAGGAAGGAAATGGGCAGGAAGGGTAAGGGACAGGCCAGCGCAGGAGAACCTTCTCCTGGCTGAGGTTTCTCGCCAAGACCCCAGATTCCTGGAGTGGCAACCTGGGGACTTGGGCAGCCCCAGAGGAAGAGGGGCTGGACTAGAACTGCCCGTGAGACTGTCCCAGATGCCTACAAGAGCAGCCCCGGCCGCGAGCTTGCCTCCCACCTGAAGGAGTGGTTGGACACGGTGTGTGCCCCTCCGTAGGTGCAGAGTGGATAAAGCAGCATAGGGCGGAGGCTAATACTTGGTGACAGAAACAGGGCATTTATTGCACACTGGAGTCTGTCAGTACCCAAACTTCACATTCATGTGCTAGAAAGGAAGATCACACATACCGCCACTCAGTCGCTAATACCAAGGCAAGATATAAAACCGCAAAGTCTACATTTTCTCTTAAGATTAAGCTGCAAGTACTCAGGAACAGTCAGGGGATCCCCTGCAGTGAGTTTCTGCCAGTAGCCACGGGTTATTCTTTTCTGTGTGATGTCAGATTAGCCCCCACTCCAGCTTAACAGCAAGAGAACAAAACTGGGGTGAGCCCACACAGGGGACACCCCTCTCCCGCCCTGCGGGGGCAAAGCCAGAAATCTCACACAGTTCAAAATGTGGGCATGGGGTCGCCCCTGAGGGAAGCTCACCTGCCTGCCTGTGTGGTTAAAAGGGACATAGTGAGTCTTTCCTGACTGAGGGCCCCAGTGGGGAGGGAGGAAACTTCATAGGGCTCACTCAGCAGGCTGGCCTGGGCCCAGCACACGCAGCAACCCTAGTGTCCACAGGCTCTGGCCAAACGCTGGCGTGGTGCTTAGACATTTGGGCTCGGATACTCTTGGGCTGGGGAAAGACACTTCAAGGCAGCTGTTTTTGACCATGGCTCTGTGGCCACAGTGAGTGTCCCCCTCAGCTGCAATGAGGTGAGGGCCACGGTTCTGTCGATGGACTGCCTGGCCACTTCCAGGTGCCCACACGCACCCTGGCTTCCCTTGAGCTGCCCCACACCTGCACTTTCAGGGCCAGGGCAACACAGGCCAGCACACAGAGGCACCTCTGGGGCTCCACAGCCAACAGGGCCGCTCAGGCCAAGCCCTTCCAAGTGAACAGTCAACACTGCCAGGCCTGGGCGAAGTGCTGGTAAAATCAGATACCGAAGACACTATCTGCACCCTGACAGGAGAGCATTCAAGCTGGGGAGAGACATTAAAACTCCAACACAATGAACAGCTCCTCACTTTTCTGCCTCACACACACACAAACCCCTTCTCTGCGCTCAGACAGACAGAATACACAAAAACCAGGGAAAACATCTTAAAACGGAATCTCAAAATTCGCACCAGGTAATACTGTGTCTCACGGATGTTAAAAGGAGGCCTCCTGAGTGAGCCCCAGAGCTCATGGTACATAAAGCTGCTGACTGACGCAAAGCACGGTTTTGTGTTGGGGTGCTGCTCATTGGGTGTGAGACACTCGAGACTTACTGGACCTGGAATCGGGGCAGGTGTTTTGAGCTTCTGCCCTTAGGCTGGGGTGGGGGGGTGGGGCGGGGCGAAGGCTCCTTGTCAGTCGTACCCTGGGCCCCAGGGCTACCTGGATCAGACCCTCGTCCGGGGGCAGGGGGGGGGGGAAGCCCCTTCAGCTGCCCGGGCTGCCTGACTGTCTGGTGGTGCTGAGTCTTGTAATCCATCTTCTCCTTGAAGGTCAGGAACTGGAGGTGGCACTTGGAGCAGTGGTGGACGCTCCTTTCCCAGTGCCCGCGGTAGTGGCACATGTAGGCACATGTAGGTGCAGTCTTGAAAATTTTGAGGCAGAAAGGGCAGAGCAGGTTCTTGGTATTCTCGTGGCACGCTCGGAGTGTATGTCTACGTCGCGAAGACCAACGAGCAGTAGCCCCAGGCCTGGCACATGTAGGGCATCTCGCCGGGCTTGTGGCTGGTCCGCATGTGCTCCAGGAGGGCGCGGTCGGTTTGGAAGGCCAGCTTGCAGATGCGGCAGACGGCCGCGGGCCCGGGGGCTGTGTGCACGCTCTCCACGTGCCGCTGCTGCTGGGAGGGCAAGGGGAACGGCCGGTGGCAGTGCGGGCAGACAGCGTGGCTCTCCCAGCCGTCGCTCCTCTGCTTCTCCAGGTCCAGGTGGTGCTTCATGTGATTCATGAACTTCACGTTTTTGAGGACCTTGGCGCAGCCGAGGCACTTAAAGACGGTGTGAGTCTTCTGCTCCGGTGGCACGTGCCGCCCCCTGCTGCCCATAGTAGAAGTCGCTGAGCAGCACGACCAGGCTCTCTCTCTTGGGCTCAGCAGTGCTGTTCGCACTGGCTAGGCCATGGGTGTCTGGCTCCACCGATACGCCTTCCCTCGCAGGGTTCACGGGCTTTGCGTGGCCCCTGAACTCTGGCGAGAGGCTTTGACGGGGGCCCCGGTCTGAGCCAGGCTATCGGAGGCCCGGAGGCCAGCTGAGGGTGCGCTGTGCTGGGCTGCCATGGTCTGCACCGACCCCAACCGGGACAGCGCTGAAGACCGCTCCTCTGTGGCTTCACCACTGAGCTTGGCTCTCTTGGGGTGTTCCCCATTCTCCTACCTCTCTTGGGCTGCTTGGGCAGGCGTGTGACTCTCCCTCTCCCCACCGGCAGGAGTGCTGCTCCAGGGGGCAGCAATGAACGTGGGAGAAAAACCAAAGGAGAGCAAACATCTGTGGAGCTGGTAGGCATGAGACGTGCGAGCTGTTCTTATGGCCAGGTTTTGGCAATGGCTCCACAAAGACAGGGCTGTCTGCTGACCCCATCTGGACCCCGACGGTGGCGCTCCCGTGCCTGCTTCTGGGACTGTGCTTCTATGGCCCACAGGCGGCAGTTTGGGGTGGCGTCTCTTCTGAGGTGACCATACGTTTTTCTCCTCAAACATGAACCTGGGGTGACTCTGTTTAAAATGTTTGAAACAACTGGCTTTGAACGTGAAGTCACCCTCACAAAGATCAGCTCGGCGTCTTCATTTCTGTGTTCTACCCCCACGAAGATCAGCTCGGCGTCGTCACTCTTGGCTCACTTGGCTTCCCGGGCAGTCTGCGGCTCGGGCGCATCTTCTCCAGGTAGCAGACGCGGTCACTCCATCTTCCAGTGCTTTCCTTCTCGAGCGGTGCAGCCGCGACTCCCAGTGCTTCCCTTATCCAAGCCGCGTCCTAAGTAAGCACAAGCACACGGCACATCAATAAGTACAGAAAACGTATGATCTTATTCAGTGTTCTCCAAACGCTCAGGCCGCAGAGAGGCCCCACCCTCTGCAGAGAACGCAGAGACGCCCAGAGGTAAATGCCAGCTCAACACCCAGCTTACAATCATCTAGAATCAGAGTTTTGTCCTACACTGACTAAGTCTCTATTATTAAAAAAAAAAAAATCCCAGTCACTAGGTAAACTCATATATAAAAGACAAATGCGTCCCACTGAAGGTGCAGCCTGCACGCTGCTCAGAAACAGGCTCTAGGTGAAGGCTAAGGTGCAGCTAGCCACCTGCCAGCTGCATCTTCTTTGGCAGGACTTTCTTTTATGCGCTTCTGTATCTTAATGGCAGATGTTCTTACTTTGTAAGCTTGAGGTAACAGCTCTTTCTAAAAGCACCACTATTTAACAGCAGCTTATTGCACAGAACTAGAAGAAACTATAAAAAATGTACATTTCTTACCTGATCCATACATCCTAATTGGTAAGTATTAATATGGAAAAGTATCAAATTTAATTAGCAGCATGAGAATCTATACAGAGTCAACAAAGAGTGTCATTCAATGACACGTACTTGGCATGTGCCCAGGCTACGTTGGGCATGGACTCTCGCGGTAACCTCAGCCCAAGCCAGGCCTCCCATCATCCATTCGCCAGTATTTGCTGAACCTATCCAGCCTTCCTGGCTGCCCCAGTGAACTGAAGCCCAGTAGTGCTTATTCTTCATCCCACCTGTCTCTTCTCCACATGGCAGGCAAAGGTATTTGGCCGAAGCAAGCCTGAGGATGTATGGGTCAGCCCAAGCCACGCGGGACTGTGTGGCTCCCCGGTGAAGCCCTTCCCGGCTGCGGATCCGTCCTCGGCCCATGGGCTATGGACCTTCTCCTTCCTCTCCCCACGCGCTTGCTTCTGGCCACGTGAACCTCCGTGCTGTTTCTTGAACACACGAAACTATGCGTCTCGCTCAGGGCCTTTGTATTTTCTGCTCCTCTTACTGTCTTATTCTTTTCCAAGCCTCCTTCTCAGAGAGGCTCTTAAATATTTCAAACAACCACTCCCTCACATTCCCAGCTTCTCTTCACTTCTGTTTCATTTTCATCCCTTATCCCCCACCTACCATACTGTCCACTTTGTCTTCATCATTTTCTTTTATTTACCCTAAAAATGTTAACTCCAAAAGCAGGGGCCGACTGTTACTGACTGTCACATCCCCAGAACAAAGCCCAATGCCTGGCACAGGCATGCTTGAAATACACAATTTGTTGAAGAACCTGTATTTACAGAGCAGATGGTGACCTGTTAATTTGACCTTGTCAGAACCTTGCCAGAAATTCTGTAGGCCAGTATTATAAATTAAACTTTTCCCCAAAAATTTAGGATCACAACTTCAAAGTAAAAATGATATTAATTTTTCTGAAGACCATGAAAATAACTGCCCTTACTACACAGGGCATTTATTTTAATATTTTGTTTTACTTTTCTTAAATTATCATCCACAAAATCAATTATGACTCATCAATAGATAAGTGTTTGAAAAAACACTGGCTTAAAACTAACAAAATGTTAACAAAACCACAGTTCAAAACGCAGCCATTCCTCACAGACATAATGTCACAGTCACCCAGCATGGGACCCTGAGTCAGTGCAACCCAATTTATAAGTCAGGCTGGCATCGGACATACTTCTCAGTAATCAGCGTGCTGGCGTATAACTACAGAGCAAAGAGCTGTTTAATGTTGAAAACGTAACCAATTTGGAAGTGAAACACCAATATCAAACTCAATAAAAGTTATCTGCACTCTCCCCACTTACTGCACCCTTACTTTGTTTGCCAAGTACCCAGTAGGAGGTGGTCAGTGTGTCAGTGGCCAATCGCCAGTTTGTCAGGAGTGCTGATTTACAACTTTCAAAACTAAGATGAAGGAGACAAGCAGGAGCTGTGCAGCGCAGAAAAACATGGTTTCCGTAGGCGCTGCTCTTTGGAACCAGTGGAAACGGGCTCAGTCTACCAACATGCAGCTGCCTCACCTCCCTCCGGGAGGAGGCCACAGCCCAGTTGGTCAACATGAGCTGCTGACATTCCGGGCTGTGTCATTTTTTGCGGGGTATGTCAGATGCAGCTCAGAGCCTCTATGCACAAAACCACCACCAGCAACCCCTTGTTCGGCAACTGAGAAGGTTCTATAGACAAACGTGTGCTGACCCACAGCTCTCTCAGAATCACTGACGCAATTCTCTAGGTAATTCTGTGTGTGTACTCTATCACCCTCTCAAGATAAAATTATAAAGCACAAAAATCCCAGGGTGATTTGAAAATTAATATGGTTATCTGAGAATGGGCTTGAAAGCCTGGACAAGTTTATGATTTACCGAAAGCTAAATGTAGTGCATTTGGGGTCTGGAGTTAAGATTGGATGTGATGTCTTTGTATATGATCTCAGGTATGGTGCTTATGTACACAGGCACCGTGATTATTCAGTAATAGAATTGTTTCATCCCTGTCTCCATTTTATAGAGAGTATATTAGGTTAGAAGAGATTTTCATTTTAATTTTTTCTCTAATAGTGTTCATTTATTGTTTTATGGTTTGTTATGTCTGTTGCCCTTATCAGGAATATAAAAGCCAGCACCAATAGTTGTCAAAAAAAAAGAAAAGAAAAGAAAAGAAAGCATAGGTTTCAACGTTGCACCTACACTCCATGAACATGGGGCACCTGCCCCTGTGATGTGCGCATTGCTGTGTATGGGTGTTGCTTGGCAACCGTTGATTCTGCCAACTCAAAGGTTCCCAACCCTCCTGGAGCTTGGTAGCTGCTGTGACCACCCGGCTCCCGGACCTGTGGCGTGTCCACTAGCAGCGCTTGGCTGGTTGGACTCATCCCTAAGGACCAGTGTTGGATGCTAGAGGCAGGCCTCCGGGGAGGCCCCTGGAGGCCTGTGTTCCACAATGTGGAAATTTTTCCGCTGGAAACCCCGGCGGCCCGCCATCCCAGAGAAGAAAGTCTTCACAGACCCTATTGCCAACTGCAATCTCAACTTATCGAAGCATATGTATGGCAGTCTGCAAGAGAAGACTGGGCCTTAGGAAGGCCCACAGAGCTGCCCTCAGTGGCGATGTGTTTAAGGTTCAGGCTGCAGATAAGTGGCTTGAATGACCTGGACCAGCAGTTGAGGTATGGGGCATCGAGGCAGAAGGGAGGAGGCAGGAGTCCTGGGAGAACACAGGCTTTTTGGGTGCAGCCTGCTGGGGGCCTGAGTCTTGCCACGGGGCACAAGCCCTGGGCTGTGCCCCTGGCCACGGTCGTGGCCTCTGGGGCTGGAGCCAGGCTTGGGCAGATACCCGACAGCAGACTCTTGGGATCATGCCAAGTGAGCTGTGGGTGGCGTTACTGGCAGCGCGAAAAGATGTAACTAAGGTAGGAGTGAGACAAGAAACAAAGTAGAGTGTGCAGAGCATCTTCCAGAGTAGTGTGCACTCACCGTGTGCCCGAACTCTCTCGGGTGCCCGCACTCTAGGGTGCCCGCACTATCGGTTGCCCGTACACTCTGGGTGCCCGACAGCTCCATGCTGTAGCAAAGTGCAGGAGGAGACAGCAGCTCCGTGGTGACCCGCTGCCTGGACGAAATGTCAGGCAGAAATGCCTGAGCGCCTCTGCACGGGTCACTGCCTCCTCCCTGTGGCCTTTCCTGAGCAACCTGAGAAGGACACTTTGGAGGAGGGAGATGGGTTCTCAAACAGGAAGAGTCACTTTCTCAAAAATGGAAACTGTTGTAGACTCATCAGTTTTGCAAAACCAACCAAAGTGTAAAACCTTGAAATGTTGAGTTACACTGGTGTTTTATTTCATCTTTGTCACAGGAACACAGCTTCATCTTCCAGAGAATGGGTTGTAAATCAACAGAAATGTAACTAAGTCCCTTTTGGACATATCAGTGAGTAGTGGAAACAGTTAGGGCCCCAGGTAGGAAGAGGAATTGAAGAAACAGGAATGAAATGCGCTTCCCACAGCGAAGGCTGCGGAGTGGCAGCGGTGGCACTGTTAACTTGCTCCTCACTCTGAGAGGCAGGGTGGTGGTGAGCACCCTGTCCTAACAGGTGCGGTTCTTTTACACAGCCCCTGCCCTCACTCTGAGACAGCCTCAGGAGATAGATGTGCATTCTGTGGTTTTTTGTTTATTTCCTAGCACTTCTTAAACCCTGTGTTGTGTGTGTGTGTTCATTACCAGACCTTCTACTATGTTTTTGATGTTGATATTTATTTTTTTAAGGATGCCTTCCAAAGGATGATATTTATTTTTTTAAGGATGAACAATTTTGAAATTCAACTTAGTAACATAAAAAGTGAAAACCCGGCCCTCCCTGGTGGCGCAGCGGGTTAAAGCATTGCACTGAGAAGCTAAAGCCACTTCCGCATGAGTTCGATCCCCGCCTGCCCCCGGAGGAGACCACATGGCGTGGCAGACCTCTCCTGACCTGCCCGCTGCTCCCCTCAGCAGTGTACTTCGTTGATCTGCCTGTTCTGCTCCCCACTCTGTCTCTGGTGAAGTCTCTCACTGCCTCTGAGCCTCTGGCCTGTACCCCAGTTCTGTATGTACAAATAAATAAATCTTTAAAAAAAAAAAAGTGAAAACCCTCTCTTTTGATCAAATAATACTACTGTTAAAAATAAATGACAATGTGCGACGCACTCTCTGCCAGCAGAAAGACGCCACGATATATCTTCTTCTGGATCCTTTATTCTTCTCCCTCGCACACGCGCGCCCTCCTCCTCGCTTGCTCTTGCTCTCGCTCTTGCTTGCTTTCCCTCTCAGGGGAAGCGCATTGCTTAAATAGCATTCATTGGCCAATTAGAGCACTGCTCACGTGTATAACAACCATATTTAGGCAGGACACACAACGAGCATACATTGATCATGCAAAAGCATGTCCAATAAGATTTAACTTCCTTATACAGGCGGGTGTTGACGTATTTTGTTTTTCACCAGCTTAACCGCACTGGCTAAAGGCCAGGCGCCATCTTGGCTGCTGAATCATGGGGCTAGGGTCCCAGGAACCCCGACAGCTCCCCCTTTGTTTAATTATAAATGGCAAGGGACCGTGCCTGTCTTAGGTTGAGCGGCCTAACCACAGTCTTACCCATCATCAACAACCGTAGAGCATGCTACGGCGTCTGTCTTAGGTTGATCTGTGGCTGCCTTCTACATTACCTGTCTTTGACTACCGGTCCAGCATAGTGAGCCTTATACCAGGGGAGCCGCCTGCCTCCATGGCAGCAAAAGCCTGATGGACCAACGCACGATTGCATGACATTTGTTGTTGCAAATTGTAAAGGCAGCGAATACAGAGCACACTAATCAGGAAGAGTACAATGCCTAAGGCTATGAACCCAAACCAAGTCTTTCCAAAGTCAAGAAAGGATTGCATGAGGAAAGACAGTTGGTTGGCAGTTAAAGGGGTGACACGCATAGCATTGAGTTGCAAAATCTGAGTTCGCAAGTCTCTGGTGAGGTTTTGAAATTGGGAGGACCATGGACCCGTTAACATTGCGGAAATTTGTTTAGACATATTGGCTGCAATAGTATAATTGGAATATTGAACCGCAGTGACACAAAATCCTTGGTGGGTGAGGATACAGCCAGTCATCATGACTTGAGCCACAATGTCCATCTGTTCCTGGAGTAAGTCCATATGCTGATTTAGCAGCATCAACCCCATATGGATATGTTCATTAATTTGAGAATGGGTGTCCAAAGCCTGTGCTGTGAGTGCAGTCAAATTGTTGAGTGTGGCGGCACAGGAAATGTCGCATTTTCAAAGGTGGCAAACTTGGTACAGTGTCCGGAAGGGGAAACGGCCAGGCCCAGACGGTGGCCCACAAGGTGACCTCAGTCGGCGTCCACAGGAGGGGCAGAGTTGTCGTCCAGGGCAGGAGTGTCAGGAGAACGAGGAGTGGAGTCATATTTCTGTGTTCCTGCAGGTGCTGCAGCAGTACGGATCAGACGTTCGGGTACCCACACCAGGCCAGTCTGGTCCTGCGGGAAAACACAAACCGATCCTTGGACCCAGTGTAGAACGGGGTCCGGGCCTCGCCATACACCTGTCAAGATTTCTTTCCATAATACAAAGTGCTCTGGAAGCGGGGCTGGAGAGTAATGACGCTCAGCTGCTGACTGGCCGCTGTTATCTAATGTTAGAAAATTTAAAATGAAGAGGGCAAGATTCATTTTCTCTCAGGGGTTCTATAGAATACCCCACCCCCCCTTTGTTTTGTAAACAAGTTTTTAGGGTAAGGTGAGCTCGTTCCATGATACCCTGATCTTGGGGGTTATATGCAATCCCAGTAACCAATTGAATTCCAAAGACATGGGCAAAGGTTTGAAAGCCCTTGGACATATATGCAGGGCCATTATCACTTTTGATCAGTTTTGGGGGCCCCCAGCAGGCAAAGGTGTGGAGGCAATGTTGAATCACATGAGTAATCTTTTCACCTGCATGTGGAGTGGCCATAATGACTCCAGAAAAGGTATCGATTGAAACATGTACATATTTAAGGTTTCCGAATTCTGGGATGTGGGTGACATCCATTTGCCACACGTGGTTGGGTAACAATCCTCTGGGGTTTACTCGTAGTGATGGAACGGGGATAAGAGGTGCACAATGTTGGCAGGCCTTGACTATTTGTCGAGATATGATTTTGGGTATTTGAAAGAGTCTGCTTAGGGTGGTCGAATTGACATGGAATTTATCATGAAAAGCCTGGGCCTGTTCTTGATTAGAAAGGATGAGCGTAGAACGGGTGGCAAGGTCTGCCAAGGTGTTGCCCTCTGTCAATGGTCCAGGGAGAGCGGTATGAGCTCTAATGTGTCCAAAAAAAAGGGATGGTGACGCTGTAATATCAAATTTTGCAATGTAACAAAATAGGGTGCCACCGTAGAATCTGGGGAAGTAAAGGGTACAATCTCCAAAACTGATACCGAATTGACAAGGTATAAACTATCAGTAAGCAGATTAAAGGAACTTTTTTCCATCAACTTGAAAGCCAGAATTACTGCAGATAGCTCGGTGACCTGTGCAGCTGAGGCCTGTACAGCAGTGGTGTACGTTTTTCCATCTACTACTACAGAGCCAATCCCATTTTTTGATCCATCGGTAAAAACCGTTTTACAGTTAGTTATAGGAGCGCTCCTAGTTACTTTTGGAAATATGACTGAATTGT